GGAAAGGGGGAAAAAAACAAGGGGGAGAAATGAATTACAGTAGATGGGGTAGAGAGAGAAGATGGGAGGGGAGGGGAGCAGAGGGGGGATAGTAGAGGATAGGAAAGGCAGCAGAATACAACAGACACTAGTATGGCAGTATGTAAAAATGTGGATGTGTAACCCATGTGATTCTGCAATCTGTATACGAGGTAAAAATGGGAATTCATAATCCACTTGAATCAAATGTATGAAATATGATATGTCAAGAGCTATGTAATGTTTTGAACAACTAATTTTTAAAAAAGATGGTAGTTTGGTCTAAATCTAAAAATATATGACATTGTGAAGTATATTTGCTCTGTATAATACAGTCATAAAGCTGAAAAATTTTTCTGTAAATTGAAAAAATGTATTATTTATTTATTTATTTTTAAAAGAAATAATTTCAAAATTATGGGAACATTATCTGATATATTATGTAAAATTATAGAATAATATAAATTAAAATTATAGGATATTATTGAAATCATTTAAGATTTAGGATATCATTATTATTATATTACACATTATTCTATTTAAATCTATTAGATAAAAATATATAAAACTAAAATATATTTGTCACAAAAATTATGAAAGTTTATTATACCCAATGAAACAAAACCAAAAGTAATTTTCAAAAGAAAATTACTCAATTTTAAATGTAATTTGAAACTAAACATGATATGCTCTGATCTTTTACATCTATACTCTGACCCTCATCAAAATAATTTTTAACACACCATGTACAAGTTTCTTAAAAGAAATCTCAATAATACTGAATCTCTGGGTTCCATCAAACAAAGGTACACATTAGTTAAATGATAAAAAATGTATATTGTTCTTCCAATTTTAAATATACCAATTATTTTTCTACTTGCCAGGAAGTATTAAAAATAAGAACCAGAAAACATTTTCTGGAAGAGATTGGATTATCTTAGGGTTTGGAACTGTGTCATCTGTGTTGCTCCCACTCAGTCACCTCCGTCACACATGATATGTAATTGAGTAGGCATGGCTATGTACCAATGAAACTTATAAAACCAGGTAGAGGACTGGATTTGGCCCATAGGTGATGGTCTTAACACACASATCCAAGAAGCTCAATAAACTCCCATAATTCCGAGAAGCACAAGAAACATGAGAAAATATGATAAAATGCTTGTATCCAATAATAAAGAAAAAATTTTTAAAACCAAAAAGAGAAGAAAGACTCATTTTACATAAGGATGAAGGTAACAGCAATTTCACATCAAAACAATGCAAACAAGAAAAAAATGAAAAATATTGAAAGAAAACAATCAATCTCAAATTTTAAAGAAATAAAACCATTAGCCAAGTGCTACAGTTTGAATACTGGTAGTGTATCCCAAAGGTCCTTGATCTCAGGGTAGCTTTACTGGGAAGTACTGTGGACTTTCAGGAGGTAGACTTTGTGGGAAGTCTTTAGGTCCTTGTAAGGAGCATGCCCTTGAAGGGGGTGGCTGTAGGACCCTGTATCATTCTCTCTCCTTCTCTCTGCTTCCTGGCTCAAGATGTAAGCACTGTGCTCTGGCATGTGCTTCCTGTCATTGTCATCCAGTTCCTATAGCAGTGCCTAAAGCTTTGGTGTAACTCAATCTTGGACCTGGAACCTTCAGAATCATAAACTAAATAAACATTTCATCTTTATAATTTCCTCAGGTATTATATTATATTATATTATTATAGTAACACAAAGTTAATAGACCATATAAAAACAACTTCAAACATGAATTGAAGGAAGGATTTTTCATACATACAAAAGCTGAGTTAAGGGGCTGGGGTTATCACTCAGTGGTAGAGTGTTTGCCCAGCATCTGTGAGTCACTGGGTTCGATCCTCAGCACCACATAAAATTAAATAAATAAAAGTAGTATGTCCATCTACAACTAAAAATAACTAACAAGCAAAAAGCTGAGTTATTGTCAATAGATTTGCTCTACAAGAAATGTTAAAAGGAAGTCTTCAGACAGAAGGAAAATCATAACAGATAATATGATTCTACACAAAAGACAGAAAATCACTGAAAATGATAATTGCCTGGGTAAGATAAGACATTTTTCTATTTAAATTTTTAAAAATAATGATTGTTTAAGCAAGATATGAATAATATCATAAAGAACTTATAAAAATAAGTAAAATTAACATGTATGTGAAGAATATTCCAAAACTTAGGAGGAAAGAGATGAAAATATACTATTTTTTAATAATATATGTGAAGTAGCATATCACTTCAAAGTAAATTATAACCTAACAACAAATATTATACATTCAAATGGAACTTCTAAAATAAGAAAGCAAAGATTTATAACAAATAAGTGATCAAAGAAAATAAAATAGGACTCATGAAAATTAATTAATCCAGAAGAAGACAGGAAAAGAAGAATGAAAAAATTATACATAAGACAAAATAGAAAATGGCAAGATGGTGGGTGTGAACCTAATCAAATAAAAATGTACATTCGATGTAAATGATCCATCCAGTTAAAAGGCACACAYCAGTTTGGATAATAAAGCAACTTTTCAAGCTCTCTCCAATAAACATTGAAATATAAATAAACAAGTATATAAAAAGTAAAAGAAGTTGAAATAATTATATTACTAGCAACATGGATTTTAGGGCAAAGAATACTATCAGAAATAATAAGTCATTTCATAAAGACAAAGGGGTCTTTCAAGAGAATRTGACAACCTCCAACAGGATTATGCCTAACATCAGCTTCAAAATACATAAAACTACTAGAACTTCAAAGGGAAACAAATAAATCTACAACATGGTTGGAGATTTTAATACCTCTCAATAGAACAAGTGGACAGAAAAGTCTGTAAAGACAGAAAAGTTTTGAATGACATTATATACTTTACCTCATCAATTCATTTTTTAAGAGAAGATGAAAGATAAGATTATTTTGAGCCAAAACCAAGTCTTAAATGTTTTGGCTCAAAATAGCCAAACTCTCTCCTTTTTTTAAAGGCTTATACTAGGTTCTAGGTTTTTGTTTTTTTAGCTTCACTAATTATTGAGATGTACAGTTATGTTTACTCAAAATTGATAAAAGTGTGTGACATTCCTCTTGCAGCCTAGAAACATCCCCTTTAACACCCCTCCCACTCCCACCTCCCCACACTGTATCTCAGCTTCTGTGATCTCAGGAAGTAATCTCTTGGAGTCACCAGGTCCTCTTCTGTCCTTTCCCTCACTCAGCAYGCCTCCTGAAAGTGGTGCAAACTCTGTGAGGCCACACACATGGCACCTTGCTTGTTTTTCACATGACTTTCTTTTTTGTTTCTGTTTTCCATTTCTCATTTACTGTTATTTCTATTGTTTCAAAGTTAGCTCTCTAAACTGGCAGGAAGATGACAGCAAATGCAACATTCTTGTGTTTTAAATAATTTTCCCCCTAAAGCATCAGAAAGGGAAGAGGATCAAAGGTATGTTTGGAGTCAGGTTGAGATGGAAAACCTGTAATAAATTTTTCTTTACCTTTGTGTTAAACATTTCCCCTGTCTGAAAAACTGTGTAGAGTTGTGGATACTCCAGGAGGCTCTTTTGACTGCAACATTTCTCAAAGATTCCCAGAGTTAAAGGTGGTAATGAAGTGAAAATCTACATAGATAATAAGGATTTGTTAAAAATGACTTTTAGTCTATAAGTGAGTTTATCAATATCAACATCTTTGCTTTGACAATATGTTTTATGATTATTAAGATTTCATCTTGGGGGAAGCTGGGTGAATGATACACAGAACTTTCAACTATTGTTGCAACTTTTGATATGTCTTAAATTGCATAAAAAGAAGTTATTTACAAAGGAGCTATTATTATTGAGTCACATAAATTCTGGTCTATCAAAAACTATGACATAATTTTTCAGATTGATTCAATGCTTTGATTCAATACATTATAATTATGCACACTGTGCTTTTTGCACACAAAATTTACACACTTTGCCGTGTTTATGAGAATAAAATGAATGAATCAAGTATCTAGCTATTTAAATAACAGCCATAATGGMTACAAAAATCTAGTAATAATGTCATCTAACTCCTACATGAGAACTAGCTATTCACTTACCAGGAGTTTGCAAATAGAYTGGACTAAACAAAAAATAATTTTACAAGAATTCTTTATCTTAATTGTTATCAGAAATAAGGTTTCCCATTCATTTTATCTTTGAATATTTACCATTATTCTAGGAACTATATTAAATTAAATAGAAAGCATTATATTATATGGAAAGTGGGGAAGGAGAGAGAGAAAAGGGAGTAAAGAGGACAAAAAATGAGAGAAGGAAAGAAAAATGTGTTTAAAAAAATGGAAGTACATGAGCCATATTCACTCTCTGGTTTTTGTTTTTGGTACTGGAGATTGACTCAGGGGGTGCTCTACCACTGAGTGACAGGCCTAGTCCTTTTTTATGTTTATTTTGAGACAGGGTCTTGCTAAGTTGCTGAGGCTGGTCTTGAATTTGCAATCTTCCTGCCTTGGCCTCCTGAAGTCCCTGGGATTATAAACAGGGCCTCTGCACCTAGTTGAACAATGTTTTTTAAATTCTTGTTTTCTGTAATACCTTTCTGGTTTTGGCAGCAAGGTAAAGCTACATCATAAGTGAGTTGGGTTGTTTCCTCCTCTTTTCTGGAAAACTTTGGTCTAAATTTGTTAATATTTCTGGAATTATTTTTGTTTAAGTAGGAAGATTTTTAACTAAAACTTCAAAAATTTTCATAGGCATGGATCATTTTGTTCTTCAATGACATTTAGTAGTTTGCATCCTTGAAGGAATTTATCCAGTGGGCTGGGGCTATAGTTCAGTTGGTAGGGTTTTTGCCTTTGATCTCTAGCACCAAAAATAAAGGGGGGGGGAATTTATCCATTTAATCAAGAAATGTGTTAATTTCACCTAATATGTAATAATAATTTGTTAAAATATTTGCTTACTTTGTATTTATTATCTGTAGAGTCTATAGTAAAAATTCTTCTTTTGTATGTGTTACTGTTAATTGGTATCTTTTTTATTTATTTTATTTTTATTTGATTCATTTGGTCAGTTTGTCTAGGGATTTATCAGCCTAATGACCTTTTCTAGCAGTCAGTTTGGTTTTCTGTCTTGTTTGTCTGCCTTACTTTCATTTGACTCAGGCATTTTCTTTGTTACTTATTTTGCTGTGCTTATTTTGGGCTTCATTTCTTCTTCTTTTTTCTAGTTTCTTTAGGATGATTCTTGGTTCACTGATTTTAGGCTCTTATTTTCAATATAAGCTTTTAAAAATGTATATACTCCTCTATGCATTCATTGCGTTAGCAATATCTTGTACAAATTGAAAATCTGTGTGTTCTTTTTTTTTCTGTTAAATTATCTTCTAATTTCTCCAGTGATTTCTTCTGTGATCTATGGTGCATTTAGAAGGGTGTTCTTTTTAGATAGATGGGTATTTTATAATATATTGCTGCTTTTGATTTCTACTTTAAATYCATTGTGGTCAAAGAACATATTAACTCTTATTGCCCAGTATGTGATTTATTTGGTGAATCTTTCACCAAAGTAATTCACTATGTTAACAGATTCAAAAGGAAGAAGCACACAGTTATTCCACTAGGTGAACAATGTGAAAGAGCTTCCTCAAAAATACTGCAGCTGAATGGTAAAATAATAATGAAAGTGTGCCCTTAAGATCAGAAGCAAAATAAGAGTGTGTGCTATTACCTCTTGGAAAAAAAAATATAGATTCTGCTATTGTGGTTGGGTGTTTTCTATAAATGTCAATTTGGTCAAGTTAGTTATAATGTTGTTCAAAACCTCTYTGCACTTTCTGAAGTTTTATATATAGTTTATATCAATTTAAAAAAGAGTTTTAAATCTCCAACTGTATGTGTGAATTTATTTAATTTGCCATTTAATTATATCCATTTCTTAATTTCTAATCAGTTGCTAATATGCTACTTTAATAGTGATTACATATTTAGAATTATTTTAATCCTTTTATCATTAAGAAATGCACATCTTTGTCATTAGACCATTTCTTGTTCTACAGTCTGCTATTCTGATTTCTACAGCTACTCTAGTTATTACAGTTTGGATATGAAGTGTCCCCCGGAGACCCATGTGTTTTCCAATGTAAGAGTGAGTGGATTTCCAATGGGAAGTGAGTGGATCATGAGTGCCCTGACCACATCGGTGAGTTAATCCATTCATAGCTGAATGGACTCCTAGGAGGTAGTAGAAATTGTGGAAAGGGACCTGGTKGAAGGGAGTGGGTCCTTGGGGCATGCCCTTGGGGACTACATCCTGACCCTTGCCTCTTCCCCCACCGCTCTCTACTTCCTGGCTGCCATGAGCTGAGCAGCTGCTCTCATTTGCTATGTCCTTCTATAGTGATGTTCTGCTTAATCTCAGGTCCAAAGTGCTGAAGCCTGCTGACCATGAGCCAATATAAATCTTTCCTCCTTTTGTATTAAGAACTATGTAATGTTTTGAACAACCAATAATAAAAAAAAAAAAACTTTCCTCCTTTAAGTTGTTTATTCCAGGCATTTTGGTCATAGACGGACGACTAATGCACCAGCTTTCTTTTATTAGTATTTACATAGTAAATTTTTTTTTTCAATTTTTCCCTTTTGTGTCTTTATGTGTGAAGGTTTCTTGTAGAAATCATATAGTTTTGTATTAATTTTAAATCCAATATGACAGTCTGCTTTTTAATTAGCATGTTTAGGCCACTTGTGATTATAAATATGTTGGATTTTAAATCTTCCTATTTGTTTTGTGTTTGTTGCATTCATTCTTTTACCTCATTTCCTGAATTCTTTTTCATTAATCATTTTTAATTTTTGTCTCCATTACAGTCTTATTATCTATACCTTTTATTAGGTATCCATTAAGGTTTACATTATACATGAGGAATATATCACAAAATTCAAATACTATTGTACTTTAACTCCTCACTTGTTCTCTTTGCTATACTTGTCATGTATTTTAACTCTATCTAATTGATAAGCTCTAAATTATTAGTTGGGTTTTAAACAAACCATTTAATCAATTAAAGAGATTGAGAGTACCAAAATTTCCCACATTTCCCACCATAATCAATATTTTCTGATGCACTTCAATTCTTTGTAGAAATCCAAATTTTTGTATATTTTCCTCTTGCTTAAATAACTTAATATTTAAGGCATACAGGGTCTTCTGGTGATGAATTCCCTATTTTCTGAATGTGTATAGATTTTAATTTCACCTTAATTTTCTAAAGACATTTTTGCTGGGTATAGAATTCTAGATTAATATAGATTAATCAGAACGTTAAAGTTATTCTATTGTTTTATGCGTAGTCTATGAGGTTGCTAACGTGAGGTCTGCTTTTATTTTTACATTTGTACTCTGTATGTAGTGTTTGTTTTTTATCTGGCTGCCTTTTATAATATTCTTGTAGTCACTGGTTTTCAGCCATTTGATTGTGAAGAACATACATGTACTTTTTGTTTAGGCTTATTCTTTGTGAAATTTGTTGATATTCTTACATCTCTGTGTTTATAATGTTCACAAAATCATGACATGTTCAATCAATATTTCTTGAAACATTTTTCTGCACCCTCTTTTGAAGCTCTAAATATAAGAAGGTCAAGAGTTCCTGACATTCTTCCTGAGCACAATATGTTTCTGACCACATTTTTTTCCATATCTTTTACTCTGTCCTTCCTATTGACATGTCTTCATATTTATTGATCATGTTCTGAGGTTTGTAATCTAATATTAATTTTTCCATATATATTTTTTCATTTTAGATAGTGTATCTTTCATCTCATGAAATTCTATTTGGTTCTTTTCTACATCTTTTATCTTTCTCATTATATTCATGTTTTCCTTTATATCCTTGAACATGTTTATAAAATTTATAGTAATTGTTTTAAGGTTTTTGCCTACTAATTCCATTTCTGAATTAGTCTTTATTGATGTATTTTTCACCTAATTATTGAAAGCTGAATATTACAAACATGTTGTTGGGAGCTGAAGTGCTGGTGTTTGTCACCTAAATACTGTGTCTGTGTTCTTTTTCTTCTGGTTGTTGTTGTTTGGTTGTTATTTAAACCAGGAATTAAACSCAGAGGTGCTTAACTACTAAGCATCATCCACAGCTCTTTTTTATTATATATTTATTTATTTATTTATTTTTAAAGAGACAGAGAGAGAGGGAGGAGAGAAAAATTTTAATATTTATTTTTTTAGTTTTCAGCAGACACAACATCTTTGTGGTGCCGAGGATCGAACCCGGGCCGCACGCATGCCAGGCGAGCGCGCTACCACTTGAGCCACATCCCCAGCCCCTTATTATATATTTATTTTGAGATGTTGTCTCACTAAATTGCTTAGGGCCTCATTAAGTTGCTGAGATTGGCCTTAAACTTGTTATCCTCTAGCCTCAGCCTCCTGAGGCACTGGGATTAAACTTGTTATCCTCTAGCCTCAGCCTCCTGAGGCACTGGGATTATAGTCATATGTCACCACCCTCAGCTCTTTTGCCTGTGTTCTGAAATATAGGGGACTGATTATATGTTGTAAAATATGTAAGTTTTGTAATTGGAGGTTCAGCATAATTTCTACAATAGGACAAATTCACCCTTACGATTCAAAGTGGCCTGTATGAGGAATTTACCTAAGATCCTATGTAAAAGGAGGTCTTCCCATTCTGGCTGATAAGAATACAGATTATTCCCAGCCCTGAATGAGCTCCAAGAACTATTTTGGCCTTTCTGGTAGTTCTTTCCCCAACTTTGCATATACTTTTTTCAGTGCATGTATGAACCAGTTCTACACTGAAGGGGATCCTCTGCGGTTCTTCAGACACATTCTCTCTTGTCTCTCTCTCTCTCTCTAGTTTTCTTTTTCTTTTTTTAATTGTCAATGGATCTTTTTATTGATTCATTTGTATGTGGTGCTGAGGATCCCACCCAGGGTCTTGCACATGCCAGGCAAGCGCTCTACCACTGGGCAACAACCCCAGCCCCTCTAGTTTTCTTTTCTGTCATTCTGCCAGGCAAATCTTGGCTACCTTGGTCTGCTGAACTCCAACCTTTGTGTCTTCATTCAGGAGGACCCCTGGACTTTCTTTTCTTTCATTTTGCTTTGGGTTTGTCTTCCTTCACTGTGGCTGGGAAGTAAGACTTCTCCCAGAGACAACACCATCAGTCGGCCTGCTGCCCAAAGTCTGAAAATTTTGTTTTATACATTTTATCTGATATGCTAATTTTTTGTTTGTTTTAATTTTTCTCATAATAGTATAGTTTTTGGAATAGTTGGTCATACATGGGTAGAAGTAATACATGACCTCTAGAAATAGTATGACAATTGATGTAATTATAAAATAAACAAACAGAGTGTATCTATCTCTGGCACTGTGGTCTCGAGCTTTATTTTTTTTATTGTTGGTTGTTCAAAACATTACATAGTTCTTGATATATCATATTTCACACTTTGATTCAAGCGGGTTATGAACTCCCTTATCCTATCTGTAAAGTGAATGTGAATTGGGATGAGACTTAGGAAGTCAATGGATAGTCACGTCATCCACTTACTGCTTGCTAGAACCAAATTACATCTATGTTTCCTATTATAAAAATATAAGATTCCACTGATCAGTATCTGAGGCTTGTACATTGATAGTGATTTTTCTAGGAGAGAGGAGAGATTCTGTCACTCTCTTCACCACTATGGAACCTTTAATGAAGGTTGATTAGTATTATCCTCTGTAATCAAGAGTCTAATAAAGACAACTGTGTGTATAGCCTCATTGCTGCTGTACTCTTGCCAAATCCATCTAGCTATGGGCATCAATACAAATTAATTATTCACAGAGCTAGACATTTTTATATTATTGGACAGTCAATGTTTTCTGTCCAGTGACATCTGCCTGTGCTGTTTCTGAATTCAAGCTCCTAGAAGACAGAATATCAGAGGTTATAGCACATAATACACAGTGATTACTATAATTCCGTACAAGAGAGGCATCATGTTATACTTGCTGGAAACCTAATTTCTAATCCTCAAAGTCTTAAGATGAAATAACAATACAAAAAGAAAAAAGGGAAAAGGTAATGTGGCTACTTTTGACTTCCAAATGATTTAAGTGACTCAAAGGATTCTTTTTTAAATTTTAGAAAATTTGATTATAACAGAAAATATATACTATAAAACAAGATAAAATTTATTATTTAGTACAAACACGTGATATATTTTTCATAATAGTTTTTAAGCAGTTTGTTTAAAAGCACATGGAATTACAATATAAACACACACATACACATAAATGCAAATGTAGGTAAACCTAAACTTTATGTATTAATTGGAATGGGTATAGATAAAGTTTAGTAATTTTCACTTGGCTTAAAAGCAGGAAAACTTTGCTTAGGTATAGAGTAAAAAAGTTGCATATGTTTTATGTAATAATAACACATTTGGTACACATTTCACATACTTACTCTAAAATAATCTGCCGGGATTGAAAGTACATGTGAAGAGTTTGAACTTCTGTATGACTTGTCATGGCAAGGAAGGCCCTAAAGATGTATTTGTCCTGAGTGCTAAGTACCCAGATGACTGACTTAGAAATTCTTGAAGTTATGCATGCTATCAGAGAGAGGAAGAGGATGCTTACCACATTGTACAAGCTGATGCACCAATGCTCAAATATAATCTGCCCAGAGAATCCATTAACAAAGGAGAACCAAAGCTGGAAGAGAGGGAAGTTAAATGAAGCATTTCATCAATGTTGACCTAAATATATCCATATATTGAAAAGAAGTGACACAGAAGAGGGACCCTTTCTCTGGCACAGCTGCTAGAGGAAAATCACTTAGGGGACCATACAGATGTCCTTTCATAAACTATGAATTGTAAACACCAATCCTTAATGATGTTAAAAATATTGATGTATTTAGTAACTAATGGCATACATCTTTATACTAAGATACAAACTTCTCGCAAAAGTCCAGATTTTTATTACARAAAATCTTAAATCAAGTAACAAAGTTTACTTTGTAACAAGTAAYAAATTGTATGCCTTCTATGGGAATAGTTACAAAAAATATACTCTGTAAATCTTAGTATGTCAATAATAATAACAAGAATACATGGGATTTTAATAAAGCAAACATTGCGATGTTACTTCAAATGCATAGACATATTTAATCCTCATAGAAATACTTTAAAGTAGTTATTATTATTATTACTGACAATTTAGGAATTTTGAAAAGTGAGGTTTAGTGAGATTAAATTGTTCACTCAGGTTACACAGTTAGTAAGTGGCAAAGATGGGATTGAAACGTAGATCCATATAACTCATGCTCATTCTCTTAAAAGCAACATTAGGGGTGATTTGTTAAAATATATCAGGAGTTTTAAGACTATATAATTACCATCATACATTAGAAAAAATTCTTCTTTAAAAGTCACATTTCATTGTTTGATATTATAAAAACAAAGCCCAATTCCCTTTTTTCAATGATAAGAGGTGATCTTTACATTCATGGAATTTATTTTATTATTGACTGACAAAATAATTGTACATATTTATGAGTACAGTGTGATGTTCTGATACAGGTATACATTGTAAAATTAATAAAACAAGTTTTTTTCCCCCAAGATGGAGGAATAGAGAAGGTCACTTTCTTGGCTTCTTTGTGACATGAAAAAAAAAAAAAGGGTGGGGGGACTTTACCAGGATTTAATTCTGGACATTCAAAGCAGATCAGGGACTTAGGAGGTTGGATAAAATAAAATAAGGAAGAAATCCGCAGCACCACAGCTGCTTCTATAGCTGGAGGCATGAGCTAGAGAAGTCCCTCCATGAGCAAAGTGGAGGGATAAGGGAATTAAAGGAACCTGCATTTTTAGGAGGGCTGAGGGGTTTGCAAATACAAAGATCAGAGATCAAAGACACTGACCAACTAAACTGAAAGATGTGCTGCACAATATCCGTGTGCAGGAAAGAAGCCATGCCTCTCCAGGCTGCCTACAGAGGACAGAGTCAGAAACCGTTTTGCAGTCATAGCTCAGGGGCTGGCATCTGGGGGAGCCAATTCCTGGCAAACATGAGTACGGCCCAAAATACAGGCCCAGAAAACTCACACTGCAAGACATGGAGTGTGCCTAAGTGACCAGAAGAAAATCAAACATGGAGAGGGGTTTACACAGGGATTACACAGTAATACAGATTGTATAGATCCCCCTKTTCCCCCTACCCACCCCACTCATCCCCACCCCACCTCCAATCCAGCCACTTGTAGGACCAGTTGGAAGAGACATGTCTGGCTGGGAATTCGAAAGGGGGTGGGGCAGAAGAGTTTGGAGGCTTAACTCAAGACCAGGAAAGGGGAGGGGTTCCTGCAGGTGATGAAGGAGACTAAGAATTGCCTCTACCACTGCAGGAATGGAACCCAGAGGGGAATCGCTGGGGTGCACTCTTCAGGATGGACTGGCAAATGTTGGGCCCTGGAGGTGAGCTGATTTAAAATTTTCAGACCAATCACCATTCAACAAAAACCCTGGAGCCTACCTAAGCCTAAACCCTACCTCTAGGAGCACCACCTAGGGATTTCTTCTCAAACTCTAGCAACCCCACCCTGAGGGTGTAGCAAGCATCACACTCCAGCCCACCTAACCTAACACTGCTGAGAAGGGAAACTGAGTAGAAACAATTCTTTAACTTTTCATTGAGATTTTTTTTTAATTTTTATTTATTCTTTTTTTCTCTGTTTAATTGTTACCTGAATGGTTCAGGGACAAACACACACACACACACACACACACACACACACACACACACATATACTTGTTTTTGTGTTTTGTGTTTTTTTTCCCCTCATTTCTATCATTTTCAAAGCCAGTTATTTTTCATGGATCAGTATTTTTAGGACTAGGATAGTTGGTTAGTATATTTTGGTTTTGTTTTATATTCTTTTATATTAATTTTTTAATTTTTACTTTATACATATTTTTTCTCACTTATATGTTTCCCTCAATTGTATTTTTCTCTTCTGCTAATAGCCAATCTCTATTATTCTCTCTTTTATTCTTCCTTTAATTTTTTACTTCTATTCKCTCTCCTCCTCCCTCATAATCATTACTTCCTACATCATTTTTGTTCTCTTCTTGTCCATTCAAAATTCTAAACCTATTTGCAAACTTACTGTTTTTACTGTGGGCAATAACTGATGGTATAATTTCTGTTTATTTTGACAATTAGCATTAAAGATGTCACAGCATGAAATATTTGATGTAATGCTGTGTATTGTTTGTGTTGGTTGTTGTTATTATTTGTCTCCCCCTAAACGGTGAGGTTTTAGAAACTTTCAGGGATGCTTTAAGTCCACAGGGTAAAAACTCTACTGCCTCAGATCCATACTGTTAGATGGCTGGGCACACAAACAAGATGAAAAAGCCAGGGAATAATTCAATCCAAACAAACCAAGATACTTCAATCATAGAACCCATGTATACCACAATGGAAGAAATGTCAGAGAAGGAGTTTAGAATGTTCAGAGTTAAACTGATCTGTGAAGTAAAGGATGATATAGARTGAAATCAGAGAGAAAATACACAAAGTGAGAGATCACTTCAATAAAGAGATAGAGATTCTAAAAAAAATAAAATCAAGCAGAAATCCTGGAAATGAAGGAATCAATAAACCAAATTAAAAATTCAACAAAAAGCATCATCAGCAGACTATACCACTTGAAAAACAAAGTTTTAGGCAATAAAGACACGTTTATATTTTTAAAATGAACTTGACCATGGCAAAAATTTGTTAAGAGATCATGAGTAGAAATTCTAAGCAATATGGGATTATATAAAAAGACCAAATATAGGATTTGTTGGGGCAGATGAAGGCTCAGAGATACAAATCAAAGGAATGCAGAATCTTTTCAATGAAATAATATCAGAAAATTTCCCAAATCTAAAGAATGAAATGGAAAATCCAATACAAGAGACTTACAGGACCCCCAATGTACAAAATTTATAACAGATCCACATCAAGCCACATTATAATGAAAATGCCTAGTATATAGAACAAAGATAGAATTTTCAAATCTGTGAGAGAAAAGTATTAGATTACAAGGGGAAATCAATTCAGATCTCAGTTGATTTCTCAACCCAGACCCTCAAAACTAGGAGGTCCTGGAATAACATATACCAATCTCTGAAAGAAAATGGATGCCAACCCAGAATCCTATATCCAGCAAAATTAAGCTTCAGATTTGATGATGAAATAAAAATCTTACATGATAAACAAAATTTAAAAGAATTCACAACTAGAAAGCCTACACTACAGAATATTTTCAACAAAATATTCCATGAAGATGAAATTTTTTTAAAAAAGTGAAAACCAGCAAAGGGGGGAACTACACTAAAGGAATAGTCAATCAAAGGAGAAACCAATTCAAATTAAAAATTAGAAATAAACTAAAATGGGAATACAAATTGTATCTCAATAATTACCTTGAATGTTAACAGCCTAAACTCATCATTCAAATGACACAGACTGGTATACTGCATTAAAAACAAGACCCAACAATATGCTATCTCGAAGAGACTCACCTCATAGTCAAAGACATCCACAGACAGAAGGTGAAAGGATGGGAAAAAACATATAACTCACATGGATTGTGTAAGCAAACAGGAATTTCTTCCTCATATCAGATAAAGTAGACTTCAAGCCAAAGTTAATCAGAAGGGACAAAGAGGGCCATTTTGTATTACTTAAGGGAATTATACATCAACAAGACAAAACAATCATAAATATTTATTCCCCAAACAGTGAAGCATCTATGTACATCAGACAAGCCCTTCTCAATTTCAAGAACCAAACAGGCCACAACACAACAATACTGGGTGACTTTAACACATGTCTTTCCCTATTGAATAGATCCTCAAAACAAACAAACAAACAAAAAAAAAAACTATAGAACTAAATCATACAATCAATAATTTAGATTTAACAGACATAATAGAATATTTCATCCATCTATGAGCAAATATACTTTCTTCTCAGCAGCACATGGATCCTTCTCTAAAAGAGACCATATCTTATGCCAAAAACCAACTCTTAGCAAATACAAAAAAATATATAGAGATATTACTCTGCATTCTATCAGATCATAATGGAATGAAATTAGAAATAAATGATAGAAAAAAGTAGAAGGTACTCTAACAACTGGAGACTAAATAATACTCTATTAAATAATGAATGATGTTAAGAAACCATGAACAGAACTTCCAATAATTATGGGATAACATAAAAAGACCAAATTTGAGATATATAAGGACAGATGAAGGCATGGAGAGACAAACCAAAGTAATACACAATATTTTCAATGAAATAAAATCAGAAAATTTCCTAAATCTAAAGAATGAGATTGAAAATAAAATACAGGAGGCTTACAGGATCCCAATATACAAAAYAATAACAGACTCACACCAAGACACATTATTATAAAAATGCCTCCCATACAGAATAAGATAGAATTTTAAAGGCTGCCAGAGAAAACAACAAATCACATTTTACAGAAACCAATCCAGATCTCAACAGATTTCTCAAACCAAACCCAAAAAGCTAGGAGGTATTGGAATAAAATAAACCAAACTCTGAAAGAAAATGGATGCCAGCCAAGAATACTATGCTCAGAAAAATTAAGCTTCAGAATTGACAATGAAATAAAACTCTTCCATAAT